GACAGACAGATTGATGAGAAGCACACTTCAGGGACAGACAGATTGATTGAGAAGCACACTTCGGGGTCTGGTACCCCCCTGCTTCCCCGGGGGTTGGGAAGGGGGAGGGGGAGGGGGGGAAAGGGGGAGGGGAGACAGCTGCTTCCCACGAGCTCTGTGCTGCTCCTGGGCAGAAAATAGGGGCCCCAAACCAGGTGTCAAGTTTCCGTTACCCCTCATCCTGCCCCACATCCTGGGGTCCCCCCACCCCCACCCAGATCTCCCAGCACAGCCCCCAGGAGGGGTCAGAGGAGGAAGCGGCGCAGCTGGCTTGCCTTAAACAGATGAACTCAGCCCATCGCCCCCTCAACTGAGAAACTACACTGAGGGAAATCAGAACTGAGAGTCCAGTGAGGCGGGGCCAGCGGCCTCGCGGGGGGCCCCCTGGGCCCCCAGATCTGGTGAAGTGGGGGTGGAGCGGTTGAGAGCTGAGGCCTCTCTCCAGAAGGCAGCCGGGGAGAAGGAAGAGAAGACACAGAAATAAAGAGAGGGCACAGACACAGGAATAAACAGAAATAGGGCCCAGGGGGCAGAGTGCCACCTCTGGGGACCTCCAAGATAGGGAGCCGAGCCCAAGGCTTTACAGATGCCGGACTCCCAAGCCCAGGAGGCCTGTGAGGCCGGCCACAAGCCTGGCACCGTGGCTCATGCCTGTCATCCCAGCTACTCACGAGACCTGAGTCAGGGTCCAAAGGCCACCTGGGCAGGAATCCATGAGCCTCTATCCTCCATGAACCAGCAAAATTCCAGAAGTGGGGCTGTGGCTCACGTGGTAGAGCGCCAGCCTTGAGCACACAGCGCCCAGGCCCTGAGTTCAAGCTCTAGGACACACACACACACACACACACACACACACACACACACACACACTTCCACTGTGGCCAGGGGTGGACAGCTCTTCAATCTTCTGGGTGCAGACACGGGCTTCAGGTTTAACAGGGGGCCTGGGGGACAGCGAGGAGGAGGAGGAGGAGGCTACAGGCCCAGGTGTGTCCAGGGGTGCTGGGTGGGTGGGGGTAGTGGTTCAGGGCCAGGCCTGGCTGGGAGGACGCGACCCGTGGGTGCTGACGGCTGTGTCCTGGCCCAGGCCGTGGAGCAGAGACACAGAGATGGAGGCCTCTTCAAGCCCGAGGTCACGGCAGGCCCCAGATCCTCCTTACCAAGGCCCTGCAGAACCGTTTGCTTTTGGGGGGACAGCAGCTACCCTGGGACAGCAGCTCTGGTTTGGGGGGGGACCATGCTTCCAAAGGCCCAGAGAAAGAAAACCAAACCAGCACCCCAGTGTCCCACACCCCCTTTTTCCCAGAGCCCCCTGCCCTCCACTCCTTTGCCTTGGTGTCACCAGGAAGAGGGGACCCCCCTCCTTTCTGACACCCCTGGATGGAGCCTTGGACGTCTGAGGAAGGAGAGAGACCGGAAAGAGCAGCTTTGACCCAGCAGCCTCTCAGCCTCTGACTGAGGCCCTGCAGGCCGAGGAGCGTGGCCTGCCTGAGGGGCGGGGCAGGGGCGGGGACATGCTAATGAGGCTGTTATGTAAGGCGGGGGTGGGGGGGCTTGGCCCACTCCCAGAGCAGAGGTTACACTGGGTCAGAAAATCCTGTGGGTTTTCCAGTTACTGGCCTTCCTGGTGATCAAGTTCTTGAGAATTGACTTCAGTTTCATCTTCCCAGAAAACAAAACTGAACTGCAGAAGGCTGCTGACAGCAGGCCAGGGAGCAGACCCAGCCACCCCCGGCCCATCTCCCAGGCAGGGGGGGGTCCCTCTGCAGCCACAGCCGGCCGAGAAGAGGAGGTGTGCATCCGACGCTAGTGACTGCAAACACAACGCCGAAGCCAGGCGCCGGTGCTCACGCCTGTCATCCCAGCTACGCAGGAGGCTGAGATCTGAGGATCAGGGTTCGAAGCCAGCCCGGGCAGGAAAGTCCGTGAGACTCTGATCTCCAATGAAGCACCAAAAGAGGGCCAGAAGTGGAGCTGTAGCTCACGTGGTAGAGTGCCCAGCCTTGAGCAAAACAAAACAGACAGACACAGACAGACAGACAGACACAGACACAGACACACACACACACACACACACATGCACACACGCACACAGGCCTTAAATGCCTAGGCCTTAAATTCAGGACCAGCACAGAGATAAAGAAAAAGCACAACAGAAGTCCACTAAAAACTCAGTTAAAATGGGAATCTAAACATTCTTGGGCTCAGTGGTAGAGCGCTTGCTTCGCATGCATGAAGCCCTGGGTTCGATTCTTCAGTACCACATACACACAAAAAAAGCTGGAAATGTGCTGTGGCTCAAGTGGTAGAGTGCCAGCCTTGAGCAAAAGCAGCTCAGGGACAGCACCCAGGTCCTGAGTTCAAGCCCCAGGACTGGCAAACCATAATAACAACAGAAACGAAACATTCTTGCATTTGATCACAAGATCAGGAATAGGCATTGTTCCTTATGGGTTCTGTTACTGTTTAAGTAGTTAGGATCTGTGTAAATGTTTATTATATTTGAACGGTTTACAGCCCTGTGTGTGCTTTATAAGCATCAGCACGAATGGGGTATTACCGTAATTGGAAACTTCTAGAAATGCCAAATTAAAGCTTCAAACTCATTCTGAAAACTTCTCTCTCCTCAAAGTGAGCAAAACATGTGAAGATTCTGTTGCTTTTGGCTTGCGTGAGAACGTGTGTGTGCATGCATGTGTGTGTACGCATTGGCTTCGTCCTGGGGTTTGAACTCGGGGGCTTCATGGCTGTTTCTGAGCTTTTATTTTTGCTTGCTCAAAGTGCTGATAACAGCACCTTTTAAAATATAGGATGCTGGAGTCTGTAGTATACAGTGAACAGGTATTACAAGGGCAGCAGCACGCAGATACACACCACACAGCTGGGAAAGAAAGAACAATACCAACAAGCCAGCTCAGCTCCGATGGAGAGCTGAATGGGGACTCTGTGATGACTGGAGAGGAGCCAGAGCCAGGACGCAATCACAGAGCGATCACACAGTGGTATGGAGCCTGCAGGCTGCAATCACAGACACAGTGGTATGAAGCCTGCAGGCTGCGATCACAGACACAGTGGTATGAAGCCTGCAGGCTGCGATCACAGACACAGTGGTATGAAGCCTGCAGGATGCAATCACAGACACAGTGGTATGGAGCCTCCAGACTAGGCTGGTCTGGGCCTTAATAGGTGGGCACAGGGGGCGGACCCTCAGGACATTCCCAGCCCAGGCACTGGACTGACAGATCCAGTAGCCTATCAGCCACGTGCCTGCCCTGCCCATCACCTGGGAGGCAGGTGATGGTGTGTGTGTGTGGGGGGGTTCTTCCCCCAGCATGAAGACAAGATGCCAGACCCTACCACCCACCATGTGGCCAGACCTGACCCCTTTACTTCAGTGCCTTTTTGTTTGTTTCTTGGTGGTTGGTTTGGGCTTTTCTCCAGCCCGGGATGCATCTGCAGGGCCATCCTGGGATCTCCATCTCCATTAGCCTGACAGATGACAGGCATTGGCAGGCACCCCGGGAAGGCGGGGCAGACGCCTCCCTGCTCCTGGCTGGTCTCCACCATCCACAGGTGACACTGGCGCTCTGGTTACCTCCCTCCCTGAGGCCGCTTAGGTACTGGGTGTGCCAAACCTCCTCCTGCCCTGCCCTTGGTCCTGATCCTGGTTCTATCTTTGTTAATCCTGCTGTGGGTGCTGGCCACGTGACCAGAGACTGCCTGCGGCTTCAACCTCCACCTGCCCCTTCCCGAATGCCTCGTGCTGCTCTGTCCTCGGCTGCCAGTTTAAGTTGCCCATTATTATTATCTTTGTTATTATTATTTATACTATTATTATTATTATTTCTATATACCAGCCACCACACTGGCTGGGCTTCTTCTTCTCCTGGAGCCGACTTGGAACCCTAGACTTCACACTGGCTTGGACAGTTGAGGACATCTCCACTGCAGCCCAGACTTTTATGAAGTTTGCATTTTGTTTAAAATGCACACACACACACACACACACACAGGTTGTGCATGTATAAAATGTGGTCCAGGAAGAAGGAGGATTTGCACAACTTGGCAGTGGGTATGCGGAAGTGTTTTGCACTTGCCTCTGGTATGATGTTGGGCGGGATCAACCTCGGCTATTTGTTGCGCTTTCTGGCGCGGATCAGCTTCTGGGGACTGGCTTCAGCCTGTGAGACGGGTTTCAGGCGTGTGAGTACTGAGCCTGGCGCTACACTGCTGGTTTGAGGGTTTTTCTCTGCCCTGGGCTGGTTAGCAGGGCTGCCTGCGTCCGGCTTGAGAACGGCTCATGGGTTGGAGCATCTGCAGCTCACAGCTGTGTGCCTGTTATTAGTAGTTAGGAGTCTGCCTTTCCTGTTTTTTTCTTTTCCTTCTTAGGCAACTCTATTGTTTGAGTCATACTCTATCCGTCCATAGTTTATCTTTTATTCTTTGTGTGTCTTGGTTATTTTTTGTTGCTTTTATTTTTAACTTATTATTATTATTGTGCTATCTTTGAGCTTGTTCATGTACATGGTTTAGGGATTTATCTTTTATTCTTTGTGTGTGGGGGGCTCTTTTTTGTGTGTCTTGGTTATTTTTTTTTGCTTTTATTTTTAATTTATTATTATTAGTGTGCTATCTTTGAGCTTGTTCACACACATGCTTTAGGGATTTATCTTTTATTCTTTGTGTGTGTGGGGGGCTCTTTTTTGTGTATCTTGGTTATTTTTGTTGCTTTTATTTTTAATTTATTATTATTATTATTATTGTGCTATCTTTGAGCTTGTTCACACACAGGCTTTAGGGATTTATCTTTTATTCTTTGTGTGTGGGGGGCTCTTTTTTGTGTATCTTGGTTATTTTTTTGCTTTTATTTTTAATTTATTATTATTATTGTGCTATCTTTGAGCTTGTTCATGCACAGGCTTTAGGGATTTATCTTTTATTCTTTGTGTGGGGGGCTCTTTTTTGTGTGTCTTGGTTATTTTTGTTGCTTTTATTTTTAATGTATATGATTATGTGCTATTCTTGATCTTGTTGACACACAGCTGGCTCTGGACCCTGCTGCCCATCCACCTCTCCTCCACTTAACTCCTGACTTTTTGTAGGTGAAGGAGTGAGGAATTTCACAACAGTTTCTGCCCTGGATTCTTTGGGCTCCAGATGCTCAAGATCAGATCTCAGTCTGGGCCAATCAGCTGCTGTCCTGCTTCATGATTATTTTTTTTAAAAAATGCATCCCAGCTTAGGGAGGCCCTGCTCTTTAAAAATTACTATTTTAACTGATGGCAGCTGGGAATTCTCCCTCCTCCCCGCCTTGTGCTAGCCTGGAAGGTGTGTCTGAAATGGGTGGGAATGGAGAGGTTCATTCTGAACCTATGGGTCGTGTGGTTTCTAATGCATGTTCCCGTCCTAATTCCTCTCCCGGGTTGGTTCTGTTTTCTTCTCCCTCAGGGCTAGGAGCCAGGGGTCTGGCATTAGGAAATGTGTGTCTGCCTCTTACGTGATCGCAGCCAGTGCCAAGATCCCAGCTCCATGAGTCCCAGCTCCAGTCCTACCGCCTGAGCAGAGCTGGGAGGGGAAAAAATGACTTCTCTGGAAACTTCTGTGGGAATGTTGCAGAGGGATTTCTCTTCCACAGAGGACCCAGAAAGCAGGCCAACAGGTAAGCAGGTAACCCCATCCATGAGCCAAGGCAGACAATTCCCGGTCAGGCTCCTTAGGATTGCATCTGCCACAGGCAGCTCAGTCTGGGACGGAGGGAGGGAAGGTTGCATCTGGGATGTGTCACTTGAGTTGGGGTAGCAAGGAATGGGAAGTGGTTTGGAGGGGGAGCAGAGCTGAGTTTCTGTTACTTGCTTCCTCCTCTTTCTTCTTCTTTCTTATTCCTCACCCTCCTCTCCCCTCCTCCTCTTCTTCCTCTTTTTCTCTTTCCCAGGTTATTTCCTCTCTTCATTTGCACTGGGGCAGGATGGCAAAATGACCATAATCTTGCAATGTCTACTGCAACCCTTGCACAATTTGCCCTAAAGCAGGGCTTTGTTGGCTCATGCCTGTCATCCTAGCTGAGATCTGAGGATCACTGCGTAAGGCCAGTCCAGGCAGGTAAAGTCAGTGAGGCTCTTATCTCTGATTAACCAGCAAAAGCCAGAAGCGGAGGTATGGCTCAAGTGGTAGAGCGCCAGCCTTCAGTTAAAAAAAGCAACTAAGGACAGTACCTAGGGCCTGGGTTCAAGGTCCCGGACTTGCGTGTGCGTGTACACACACACACACAGAGAAAAAGTCTACAAAACTGGGAAGAGCTTATGGATTGTAGGTCCTTTGTAATTACTAAGATATGTAGGAATCTGGAGAATGCTTTCCGTCCAACTCCTGCTGGAAACAGAGCCCAGCTTCAGATGATACTCATATGGCTTTGGGGAGAATTTTTTTTTTTTTCCAGGAAAGAGAATTATGTGAAAAATCAGAAACAGAGCCCTGACTTTTTTTTTTTTTTTCCCTTTTGGTTTGGATCAGTTGCCAGAGTGGAAAATTTCCTTATTTGGAAGGAAAAAAAAATCTTTTTTGTTGTCCCAGCAGAAACAAGATTATTAGCAAGGGGCTGGGCAGGTGGCTCAGTGGTAGAGTGCTTGCCTTGCATGCATGAAGCCCTGGGTTCGAGTCCTCAGCACCACATAAGCAAAAAAAAGCCAGAAGTGGCGCTGTGGCTCAAGTGGTAGAGCACTAGCCTTGAGCTGAAGAGTTGCGGGACAGTGCCCAGGCCCAGAGTTCAGGCCCATGACCAGACCCCTCCCCCCCCCAAAAAAAAAAGATTATCAGCAAGTTCTGCCTTTAGCAAACTCAGCAAACCCTCATGCCAAGAGTAATGCTTACAAAACAGGTTTCATAAGTTCAGCCTGTCATTTCTTTGTTCCTTGTTTTGTCTGTGTGCCAGTCCTGGGGCTTGGAATCAATGCCTGCATTTGGTCTCTGAGCTTTTGTGCTGAAGACTAGTACTCCACCTCTTGAGCCACAGCTCTACTTGTAGCTTTTTGCTGGTTCATTGCAGATAAGAGTCCCATAGACTTTCCTGCCTGGGCTGGCTTCAAGCTGTGATCCTCAGATCTCAGCCTCCTGAGTAGCTGGGACGACAGATGTGAGCCATGGGTACCTGACTTCTTTGGTCTTTTAGGAGGCAATTTTAGTCTTTCCTAACAGAATTTGAGGGTGACTATGTTCGGAGGGCAGAATGAGAGGCATAGGAATTTTGAAGGGAAGAGAAAACTACCCAAACTAAGAACAGCAGAAGAAAAATAAACACACTCAGTGCATATCAAGTAAAAATGAAAACAACAACCACCTATGCTTCCCTTGTTACCCTGTTAGAAATGCAATTAATTACACTTAAGTTAGTGGCTCACGCCTGTCATCCTAGCTACTCAGGAGGCTGAAATCTGAGGATCCTTGGCTTCAAACGAAGTCATGAGACTCATCTCCAGTAAACCACCAATGAGCTGGCCTGAAGGCCTGGCTGTGGAGGTCAAGCAGCAAGCCTGGGCAAAAAGATTGTGGCCCAAGGTACTAGTGTACACACACACACACGCGCGCACACACACACACACACACACACAGAGCAAAGCCAGCAGGAAACTGTAGGTGACATTATCACCTGTTGATCTCTTGAAGGAAGTCTCGATAGTAAATTTAGTCAGATTCTTAAAAAACAACCCGAGGTGTGAGGCTTCTTTTCTCCCTCCTGCTCTGGAGCCTGCTTTAAGCTGAGAGTCAGGAATCCAGCAAACAGAGGGAGGGGCTGGCGTACAAGAGAAGCTGCAGGGAGCATCTGTGTGCAGGCTTTTGGGCAGACGTGGAAGGTAACCGGTGAAGAGGGTAGACAGGCATGCTCTCTGAGTGATGTCCTAAAATGCCTGGACCACTGGCGTTTCCAGAAACAGTGCGTGCAAGTTCCATTCCAGCTGGAGTCCCTGTGTGTTTGGTTTAATGTGACAATAAAATACTTACATAAAGACTGCTCATTGTGTTTTTATATATGTAGCGTAACGTGTATCATAACCCCTATCATACATGTTTTATGCAGTATATCATACTAATTAACATAGTATTTAGATGGGCTATCTAATAATATACATTACATACTATATTATTATACATCATATAGCATATATTATACATCATATAGCATATTATACATCATATAGCATATGTACTATGATATACAGTACATATATTTTATATTACATATAATTAGCATCATATAGTATCTGTACTATGATAGATATGCTATATACATACATAGAATGTATATTTTATATTGTAAAATATATATCATATACTTATATTTTATATTGTTTTTAATTTTATAATTTATATTGTATTTTATTGCATGTATTTATATTCATATTAGATTCAAACCTTCTCCTTTTTCAGTGTTTCCAGTGAAAGCTCTCCCAGGAAAATGCCTAGGAGTTTTGTCACCCATCACACCCAGGAAATTTTACTGCTCCGTGCTCATTAATGCTGTTCTGCTTGCAACCGCACTTGGACTTCTTGCTGTGCTTACGGCAGGTGAGTGGCTTCCAATGAAGAGTTGTGTCTAGGCCTGGGGTCTGGGCAGGGAAAGGAATGGTTGATGAGCAGCTAATCCATTGTCTGTGTGTTAGTGGACCGAAGAGAAAGCCGCATTCCGGAGACAAGGCTGCTTTCCTCTTGCCCTGGAGCCTGGATTGGATTTGGGAATAAGTGTTATTATTTTTCTGATGATGTAAGGAACTGGACCTCCAGTCAGGCCTTCTGTGCATCCTTTGGTGCCAATCTCGTCAAGTTTGACAGCAAGGAGGAGTTGGTAAGAAATGCTTTGGGGGCTCCTCTTTTCTGTGACATGCTAAAAGACACCCCGAAATTAGACAGGTTGTGTAAGGTGAAAGCTAAAACAGAATGAAGGGTGGGTGCCAGTAGCTCACACCTATAATCCCAGCTCCTCAGGAGGCTGAGAACTGAGGATCGTGATTTCCAAGCCAACCTGTGCAAGAACCTCGGTGAGACTCTTGTCTGTAGTTAAGCAGCCAAAAAGAGCTGGAAGAAGCACTGTGGCTCAAGTGTTAAAGCCTTGAACAAGAGAGCTCAAGGACAGGGCCGGGAATGTGGCTCAGGTGGTAGAGCGCTAGTCTTGAGCAAAAGCAGCTCAGGGACAATGCCCAGGCCCTGAGTTCAAGCCCCAGTACTGGCATAAAAACACACACATAAAAAGAAAAAGACAAAGAAATAATTACTCCTATAATACTCAGGAGGTGAGACGTGAGATCACAGTTCAAAACCAGCCCCTGGGCTGGGGGAAAAAAAGGAAAAAGAAACAAAATCCTCTGACAGACAAGGACTCCTGTTTTCAACTGACTGTGTTTTATTACAGGGTTTCTTGGAAAGACACAGAGATTCATACGACCACTGGATTGGTCTCAGAAGGGAATCTCCACAGCACAGCTGGAAGTGGGCAGACAACACTGAGTTCAGCAACTTGTACGTATCAGCCATCGTTTTGTTTCTTTGTTTTGTGTCAGTCCTGGGGCTAGAACTCAGGGCCTGGGCGCTGTGCCTGAGCTTTTGCTCAAGGCTATGCTCTACCACTTGAGCCACAGCTCCACTTCCGGCTTTTTCTGTGTATGTGGTACTGAGGAATCGAACCCAGGGTCTCATACATGCTAGGCGAGCACTCTACCACTGAGCCACCTGCCCAGCCCAAGTCTGTGAGACCCTCATCTCCCATTTACCACCAAAACGCTGGCAGTGGAGCTGTGGCTTCAGTGCAAAAGCTCAGGAACAGGTCCAGGTCCCTGAGTTCGAACCCCTGGACCAGGCACGCACACACACACAAACTAAAATCCAAAAACCAGAATGGAAGTGCAACAAAAAAAAAATGGCGCTGCTGTGCACTGGTGGCTCCCGCCTGCCAATCCCAGCGACTCAGGAGGCTGAGATCTGAGGATCATGGTCCAAAGCCAACCCGGGCAGGAAAGTCCGTGAGACTCCATGTCCAATGAACCACAGGAAGTGGCGCTGTGGGTCAAGTGGTAGAGCACCAGCCTTGAGCAAAAGGAGCTCATGGATGGCGCCCAGGCCCTGAGTTCAAGCTCAGGACTGACACAAGGACAAATTGTAAAAAGCATAGACTCCAGTATGAGTAGGAACTGCTTCTCTGCTTGTTTGCAGGGTTCAGGTGAGGGGAGCTGGGGAGTGCGGCTTTCTGAACGGCGTGGGCATCAGCAGCGCGCGGTTCTACACGGAGCGGAAGTGGATCTGCAGCAAGCCGAGCAGCTACGTGCAGTGTGCAGCCACCTCGGGGTCCTTGCTGCATGGGGTCTCCTGGCTGGGGCTCACGCCTCTCATCCTGACTGGGCACATATATATGCACATGGCTCCTTAGCCATAAAGGAAGTGGAAATAATCAAAAGTACACCACGGGCTTTGGCCTCTATTGACCACCACAGAGGGCCAAAGAGAAGCTTTATAAGCTGCTATTTACAGTTGCTGTAGTGGTTTTGGTTTTCCTTTTTTTGGGTGAGTTGCTGGTCCTAGAGCTTGAACTCAGGGCCTGGGCACTGTCTCTGGGCTTTTTCACTCTGCTGCTTGGAGCCACAGCTCTACTTCCAGCTTTTTGCTGGCTGAGTGGACATCAGAGTCTCCGATCTGTCTGCCCAGGCTGGCTTTGAACTTCCATTCTCTGATCTCAGCCTCCTGAGTTGCCAAGAGCCTCCCCGCCGTGCCTGGCTAGTTGAAAACCAAATACCTGGGGCTGGCTTTGGACCGTGATCCTTAGATCTCAGCCACCTCAGCAGCCAGGATTACAGGCGTGAGCCACCCGCAGCTACACTGTACTGATGATTCCCAACAAGGATGAAATAGCAGATTATAAAGCTTCTCTATCTTGTAATATAATTTGTATATAAACGCTTTTGTGGCTTGGGAATATGACTTAGTGGTAGAGTGCTTGCCTAGCATGTATTGAAAGATTAAAAATTAGAATTACATTTTACAATTGCTAACTGCTGATTTCGCTTTTGTAAATTTGCTTGCCCTAGCACTACCCCACCCCTTTCCTGGAAATAAGGAATTGAGTAAAAAGTCTCGGAGCCCAGATGCCGGCCCCGGGACAAGGTCTGTGGTCATAAATAAAGAACAAACAAGTAAATGCCCCAAGTGGTCAAATGGGACCCAAAAATGGGACCCAAGAATGGGACCCAAGATAAGGACCACCTGGCAAGTCCAGCAAACTAGGCCAAATGTTAATCAATCACAAGCCTGTAATTCTGTAAACTCCCTTCCAGGGTGACTGCTCCCCCTAGACTTGCCCTGAGCCAACTGTTTTACAAAGAGTGTTATAAACTTCCCCGCGTAGTAAAAATGATAGCTGGAATGTACAGTGACCTCTAAACGGGCCAATCTCCAGACGCCTTGTGTTATGTGTCAACCTTGGGGTTTCTGCCTGTAACCACTGCTCGGGGCTCTCTCCCTTGCCGGGGCAGAGAGACCATTTGCGCAAACGCTGAATAAACTCCTCTTGCTTGTTGCATCTACTGGTTTGGAGTCTTGGTTTCTGGGGCGCCCTCCCATAGACGAAAGTATCCTAGGAGTCTGGGGTCTTTCAGTATGAAGTCCCCAGTTCGATTCCTCAGCACCATATACGCAAAAAAAAAGCCGGAAGAGGTGCTGTGGCTCAAGTGGTAGAGTGCTAGCCTTGAGCCAAAGAGGCTTAAGGACAGCGCCCAGGCCCTGAGTTCAAGCCCCAGGACTGGCATTAGAAATACATTAAAAACAATAGCCACATTATTTCTGTACAGTATTTTCACAATAAAAAAATAAAAATAAAAATAAAAGCATTAGCCAGAAATAAAAAACCAGTTGTGTCCCTAACATGGGATTTATTTTGCTTGACATCATCTTACCTGGTCATACGTACATAGCTTTTGACCTTTTCTGCTTGTCCTAGACTTATACTAGTTATTGCAAATAAGGGAAACCATGAGACCTGTGTTTCTTTGGGCCTGGCTTACTTCACTTAATATAATTTTTTCCAAGACTTTCCATTTCCTAACAAATGGGGCAATGTCATTCTTTCTGATGGAGGCATAGAATTCCATTGTGCATATATACCACATTTTCTTGACGCATTCATCTACTGAGGGGCATCTGGGTTGGTTCCCTATTTTAGCTATGGTAAGTAATGCTGTGATGGACATGGTTGTGCTGGTAGCTTTGGTACGACCTTGTTTGTAATCGTGTGGGTAAATGCCCAGAAGTGGGACTGCTGGGTCATGGGCAAACTCTGAGATAGGAGGAGGAAGATGTATGCAGGCTGCACTTGATGGCATGGTGGGTCCTGGAATAATAAAGCGGAGGCTTTTGCTGGAAGAGACACCGCTGTGCCTTCAGCCTTCTCTCCATCTCCTTCGTCCACCCCTTACCCCTCAGGAGCCGCTGTTTTTGCCCTGACTGGACTGGACCCACTGGACCCCAACAGGGACCCGAGGAAACCCCAGGGAGGACTTCTCCAGCACAGAAACGGTTGGGTATGGGGACCGCGAAGCACACAAGTAGAAAAGGAGAGGAGACATAAGATGGGGGTGAATCAGAGCAAAGGAAGGCGACTGCTTTTCTTTCTTTTCTTTTTGTCAGTCGCGGGACTTGAACTCTGGGCCTGGGCGCTGTCCCTCAGCTCTTTTAGTTCAAGGCTAGTGTTCTACCACTTGAGCCACAGCGCCACTTCCATTTTTTTTCTGTTTATGTGGTGCTGAGGAATCGAACCCGGGGCCTCCTGCGTGCGAGGCCACCTTCCCAGTCCAGAAAGGTGACTGTTAGCCGGGTGCTGGTGGCTCACACCTGTAATCCTAGCTACTCAGGAGGCTGAGATCTGAGGATCGCAGTTCAAAGCCAGCCCGGGCAGGAGAGACCTTGAGACCTTGAGACTCCTATCTCCAATAAACCACCAGAAAACCGGAAGTGGTGCTGTAGCTCAAGTGGTAGAGCGCTCGCCTTGAGCTGAAGAGCTGAGGGACAGCACCCAGGCCCAGAGTTCAAGCCCCACAACCACAAAAAAAAAAAAAAAGAAAGGTGACTGTTTCTGACAGCCCTGGGCCCTTGTGAAGAAAAAGGCTGCAGGATAAGTTCAAAGAGGCTAGAGGCATTTTTTGAGGTTGTAGAGAATCTCTGTCCCTGGCTCTCTGAAGAGGGAACGGTGGATTTGGCTACATGGCAAAAGGCGGGTCAAGAATTAAAAATTCAGAGGAAAACATGCTGTCCCCCCAGCCCCCCAGACATTTTCTGTTTGGAATAAGAGAGTCTTGACCCCAATCACCAGACAGAAATTGTTTCTATAAAATCCTTGTCGGAGGGGAAAATAAAGAGACCCTCCTTTGTACATCAGATGTGGAGGGAGAGAGGGCTGTCAGTCGGAGTGCAGGAGTGTTAGAGGCCTGGAAAGTCTGTGCCATGAGGCTGGGCAGGTGGCTCAGTGGTAGAGCGCTTGCTTTCCATGCATGAGGCCCTGGGTTCGATTCCTCAGCATCACAGAAACAGAAAAAATCAGAAGTGATGCTGAGGCTCGAGTGGTAGAGCACTCGCCTTGAGCTGAAGAGCTGAGGGACAGTGCCCAGGCACAGAGTTCAAGCCCCACCACTGACCAAAAAACAAAGGGGGTGGGGAGGCAATTCCCACCTTCTTGTAACCCAGACTCCTCCACCTGTGTCTGCAGTCCAAGGAGCAGGGTAGGGACACTGGGGACTTCCAACTTTTTCTTGTCTGACAAGACAGAGGCAAACAACAGAGTTGGTGCTGGGCAGGGCCAGCTGGAGTACGAAAGGACTGATTAGTCTGCCCAGGGGTCACTGGTCCTGATTATACAGACACATTCAAATTCCTGCTGGGTTGGAAACAGGAACCTTGCTGGTCCCTGCCCATCTCCCCTCTGCTCATTTGACTCTGCTTCCTTTAGTTCCTCTTTCTGGTATGGAAATTGAGGTGTGGCTCCACTGATAAGGCTTTAGGGCTTCAGAGAATTGGGCAAGGGCCATCTGAGGTAGAACTGTCCGTCAGAGGGAAGCTTTTTCAGACCTAGTTGACACCTGAGCTGATGTCTGGGTGATATCTGTCCTACACTGGCTCCCTCCTGACTAACAGAAGAGGGCCTCACCCTGATGCAGGGCACAGGCCTGTCCTAAAGTTCTTCCGAGCCGGGCGCCAGTGGCTCCCACCTGTCATCCCAGCTACTCAGGAGGCTGAGATCTGAGGATCACGGTTCAAAGCCAGCCTGGGCACAAAAAATGTCCATGAGACTCTTATCTCCGATCGACCACTCAGAAAACCGGAAGTGGTGCTCTGGTTCAAGTGGTAGAGTGCTAGCCTTGAGTGAAAGAGCTCAGGGACAGCGCCCAGGCCCTGAGTTCAAGACCCACAATTGACCACCCTCCCCATAAAAAACATTCTGCCAGCCGGGCGCTGGTGGCTCATGCCTGTAATCCTAGCTACTCAGGAGGCTGAGATCTGAGGATCACGGTTCAAAGCCAGTCCGGGCAGGAAAGACTGTGAGACTCCTATCTCCAATAAACCACCAGAAAACCGGAAGTGGTGCTGTAGCTCAAGTGGTAGAGCACTCGCCTTGAGCTGAAGAGCTGAAGGACAGTGCCCAGGCCCAGAGTTCAAGCCCCACGACCGACAAAAAAACAAAAAACAAAAAAACATTCTGCCATGCTGCAGTGGCTGACCAAGGAAGGTCGTTCGGGAATGGTCCAACCCCTTGTTTTGCCCGATCTTCCAGTAAATCTGTGGGGCCGTGACGTGTGGTCTCAACTGGGTGCTTACATCCACAGTCAGGTCTGGGACCACAAGGGAAAGGGAGGTTTGGACCTTACCAGCCTGGTGCTAACCCACACAGACAGGGCTGGGGCTTTCCACCAGGCCGCTGATAATGGCAGCTTTACATGCAGAACCTATTGCTGGAAGACCCCAACACCCATATGGGTAGATCAGTGGCCTTTGCCTTAGGAAAAACTTGACATTACCAAGGCTCTGGCTCATGAGCAATTGTCACAAGGCCATATTAAGCCTTCTGCTAGTTCCTGGAATACTCTTTTCTTTGTTGTTAAAAAGAAATGAGGGAAATGGAAACTTCTCCAGGACCTGCCGGAGGTTAATATAACTATGTTCCCTATGGGTGTCTTGCAACCTGGCTTGCCCTCACCAACAGCTATTCCCTTATCTTTGTCCCTATTGGTACTGGATTTAAAGGCTTGCTTTTTTTTGTCGTTCGTGGGGCTTGAACTCTGGGCCTGGGCGCTGTCCCTCAGCTCTTCAGCTCAAGGCCAATGCTTTACCGCTTGAGCCACAGCACCACTTCCAGTTTTCTTAGTGGCTGATTGGAGATAAGAGTCTCAGGACTTTCCTGCCTGGGCTGGCTTTGAACCGTGATCCTCAGATCTCAGCCTACTAAGTAGCCAGGATGACAGGCGTGAGACATCAGTGCCTGGGTAAAGGA